TGGAGTGCAATGGCATGATCTCGGCTCACTGCAACCTCTGCCTCCCAGGTTCAAGTGATTCTCCTGCCTCAGCCTCCTGAGTAGCTGGGATTACAGGCATGCACCAACATGCCCGGCTAATTTTTTGTATTTTTCATAGAAACAGGGTTTCACTATGTTAGCCAGGCTTGTCTCAAACTCCTGACCTCAAGTGATGGGCCTGCCTCGGCCTCCCAAAGTGCTGGGATTAAAGATGTGAGCCACCGCCTGCAGCCTAATGTTTCTAATCTTTAAAATTATGAATATATATAAAAACAACAAAAACTAGAACAATCATGCCAAACTGCCAACAACTATTTCCAGGTCAAGGAATTATGAATGAGTTTTTAAAATTCTTTACTGTTTTCTGCATTTCAGTTATCTATTATAACAGTGTACTGTTTTCATAATTAGAAAGATAAATGTTATTGTTTATTTATAAAATAACATACCCTGGTAATTTTGCTTTGTGATTTTGCAAAGTATTTTTTCTGGGTTCGAGCCAAGAGTTCTTGTCCACCTGCTATGGCCAATATAATGGCATCAGCCATGCGGTTATCATGTAAACAAAGGTCAACAGCACTCTCAAAATTACCCGTCAGCAAAGCCTGAGTAATTAAACCATCAATGTCTGCAACAAGAAAATAACACATCCAAGTTAAATAGAGTTTTTGTTACCAAAACCAACAACAAACTACTACATGCATCAATTTTTATATATGTATGCAAATGGAGACCACAACACTAATTTCCGATTACTAGTGGATTAATTTCTAACACAAGCTATTGGTATTTATGGAAGAGATCTATAGAAATATACTGAGATACATATAAAATCATACGTTTTCCAGACTGCTTTAAATGGATTATCAAAGATCACCTAGGTGTCTGAACACACCAGCCTTCCCAAGACACTGATTACATGTACTGTACTAAAGGAAAACTGAGTTCTTTCTCACACTCTACCACCTGTGATAAAACCTTTTTTTTTTTTTTTTTTTTTT